TAGATTAGCAGTGTAAGTCAATAAGCCATTATGACATACAGAAATAAAAAGTGTATTTATACACATACAGTCAATATAATGGTGCATCCCAGTTTCCCAGCTCTCTATCAAAAAAGTTAGCTACTTGAAGAACACAACAGACCAAGTCCCTTTATTGTTCAAGGAATGCATTAATTTTGAGAATTAGCTTCACGGACCAGCAGATGAAGCATTAAGTAAGCAAATTAAGGTATTCTGATCTCTACAATTTCTTTTCCTTCTCCCCCTCCTCCCCCAAGAGACTAACTAGTCCTTTAATTAGATACAAATAGAAGGTGCAAAAATTTTATGATAAAACTCACATGGAAAAGCATAAACTGTGTCACTTCTCCTTTATGCACTAATTTTTCTTACTCAAGTAGTCGCTTCCATTGTTTTCCCTCTAATGCCCTCCTCCCTGTGCTGAATTGTTAGAGCACAGCAATTTCCTTTCTATGTGGCATTATTAAAACTGTAAATGCTTTGCTTGGAAAATTAGTTTCAGTTGCCCTTCCTCCCCAGATATGGTAAACTGATTCTCTAAAGATTTTAATGCATTATTTACACGTGCATGCTAACCTCTGTAGAAAAATATTTGAGCTTATCAGCGCACTTTATGTGCACACAAGTTCAGTGGAAAGTTGATTTACCTCATTTAACTCTGTACTAGATCCCTGATACAGTTAATGACATTTTACATGAATACTTGTTTTCCATGTCTCTTTTCTCCAATGGTCAACTTCAAAATGCCACTTGTCACTTCATATAGCAACAGCAGTGGAAACAAGCCCATCAAGGTTTTACAATCCATTTTAGGAAAACAATAGTAGAATAACTGGATAATTGGAATTTCTGGGACTGAGGAATCACAGAGATATCACTTCCCACCCCCACCTCTTCAAAAAAAAAAAAAAGTGCAGATTTTTTTTCCTGAATTAAAAAAGTTAGAGTCTGTAAGAAAGGTTCTACAAAATAATGTATACTGGGCAGCACTTCTTTCTTCAAGTTGTTCTATGACCAAGTGTGGTTCATAATTTGTGCTCCGATCTGTTGGAATTTTGTTTGTTTGGTTTTGTTTTTTTAAAATATACAACATATATGCAACGGAATAACATTTATCCTTTACAGGGAATGTCAACAATACTCCTTTTAGAAAAGCAATCTTTTATGCAGCCATAAGAAACTATTAGCAGTTATTATATAGGAACAGGAAATAGTTGTGTTACTTGAAAACTCATTTCTCAACCAGGATTTGGAGACTGTAGGAGAATTCAAGCAGTTTTTCCTTTTCACTCATCTTAAACTTCATAAAACCAATCCTATTAGCAGTGCTTGAGGAGCCATCCCTGCTTTCAAATACTATGGTACCATGCCTTTACCAACACCAGGTGACAACTCCTTAAGGCTTTCAATCTGTGGTACTAATTGGCACCAAAATGTTCATGCATCAGCAGCTATCTAACAGCAAGCACCTTAACACTACATCATTAATTTCTACACACATTACTATATACACAACTTGACCTTAAAAAGGAAACAAAATTAGACCATAAAGCACCGATGGAAGTTGTTTCCAAGGCACTGCACAACAGGAACAGTCAGCTTGCTGTCAAATCTTGCCATGTTTAGATGCAAGTACAGAATATGCTTTGGAGAAAGTATTTGTTTATCAACACATGGGCTTCTAAACAGTATTATTTGTGCTAACAGATAAAGAAAGTCATTAGCACTTGAACTTATACACACTAATTAATAAAAAGAATACCATGATATATATACGCTTTATATCCCCAAGGCTCAGTAGAGATGGTAAAAAAGAAAAACAAACCAAAAACCCCCACGCAACCCAAAATGCCCTCTTCCTTGGAATATGCCCATTCTCTTAAGTACAAGAAGGTAAAAGAGAAATTTGAGGAAAACGGATGGGGATAACACACCAAGAACCTAGCAGAACAGTTTCATTTCTTACATAATTTATAAAATAAAATTATTGTCTATTCATTCCTAGTGGACACCAGAGACAAGTTTTTAGCATGGACTGATCTTATGTGAAGGAGTATCCTTTTTAGAGAGCTTTGCCAATGGGACAGGCAGAGGCCTCTCAGGAAGGCAGATACTGAGGAACATCATCAGCAACAGGAGCTACAAGGTACCCCACACAGGCTCTGTTTTAAACTCTAAGGAACTGACAACTATACATTAGTCACCTTTGCTGATGATAATGTTAGATAGTAGTAGATTCATGGTTATTTCTAATAAGTCAGTTATCTATTTTAGGTGTGTAGCATATAATAGAAAAAGAATCAGCTAAAGGAGTCCCTGGATTTTTTTTTTTTTTGGACACTTTATTCAGTGCCATGTTTGATCAAACTAGTGTTTAACATGACAGCAGGATTCTTGATCTCTTTGCCACTAGATCAGCTGAGGTTACATCTATCGGATTACTTCAGGGAAAAGGCTGATAGGAAATAGACTACTCTCTATACAGGTAGAAGAAGAAAGCATAAGCAGATGAAAAATTGGAGTAAGTTCAAAGTAAGAGTTCAGTCCTATTCACTGATCCATTTAATAAACCTGTAAACCAACCCCTCCTACTTGTTTTATATGTTACTGATCTTTGCTTTTGCTTGTTCCTTCTTCCCATAATAGCTTTTCCACTAAAATGCACTGTACTGCCTTAAAGCCTCTTGATAAAAAGCTGCAGCTGAATGTGTTTACATAGGACTATCAAAGAAGCAAAAGCTGTCTCAGAGCACCACACCTGGGTTACCCATTAATCCTCTTCCCTGTTTCTCCAGTTTTAAGATATTGTACAGTGATAGCAGAGAACACTTTTTGGAAGAGAAAGCTACTCTACTAGCTTCCTCTTTCGGTAAATGAACAGTACTTCATGATACATTTGTACATCAAGATTTCGCTTTCCATTTCCCTTCCACCCTAAGTTTCCCATCACTGTGTTCTGAAGAAGGCAGCGTATTTTTCATCTTAATACCCACAAAAAGGTTTCAATGACACTGTTCACCTGTCATCTTAGATTACACCTGGATCAAGAGCTGACAGAGAAAAAGCTTGTTGGATTGAAGGAAGTAAGTATATTGATTAAAAATAATGACTGAAATTCAATGGGAATAATGGGTATGACAACAAACAGCTGCAATTCCCTGCATGTACTGATACTTTCTGGCACACATGTTAAAAGCCACTAAAATGCAGTTGTATGTAATGACAGATTGAACCATCTGGTACTGTCAAACATATCTGATTAAAAAGTTAATTTTTAACAGCTTTCAGATTTGTGCTACAAGTCAGTCATAAGAAGTCACATTACTCAAGTTAAAATGCACAGAAGACCACATTAGCATATTCCTTGTACTTGCATAACATCTTTTTTTAAAAAAGTCATCCATCTCACTAATCACACTAACTTCTAAATCCAGACAATTATTATTTGACAATCTTAAGAGAAAAAAACCTGACATAATTTTCACATAACACATATGGAAATAACAGTGTTTTTGAAATAGGTCTTTTACAATTGTTTCTAGAGGAGGCCTAAATAAAAGCTGAAGGCATGACCTCATTCTGTAGTAAATAACTTACAGATTTTAATACATGTAGGAAAAGGATTGCCGCTACTATCTTCAGAAATAACTCCTAAAAAAGTTATAACATTTAATTCTGAAGAAAAATTTATATTATTATTTTCTGTGGAAATTATTCTGTAAGTTTTAAAACATCAAATACTTATAAAGGCTTTGAGGAAGAGGCAACACCAAAATACACTGCTAGTAAAAATACTTGAGCAATATATATGCTGAAAATATTAAGATTACAAAGACTTGCTTTTATGATACTAATTTCAGTGTCTCAAAGCAAAAATGCTCCATGCAAAATCACTGAGCTGCAGAGACAGTGTTTTGTAACGACAGCCTAATACTTCAGCTGAGTATGTGAGAGGCTTGAAGTCAGAGTTCTACTATGAATCTAAATTTTGGAGCCAAGACGACGACTGTTACCCATAGTTAGACAACTGCAATTTTTTAAAGTTTGTAAGTTTGGGTTTTTTCTTTTTTTTTTTTTTTTTTTTTTTTTTTACACTTTAAAAAAAAAAAAACAAAAATTTTTACACTGTACATAAAACAGAAGCATAGACTTCCTTAATTTCAACACGCTCCATTGAGGGGCAGTGGGGAATGGGAAGAAAAAGGAAAATCAGTCTTATAATCAGAGATTGCAATTGCTGCCCTGAGACTCAAGTTAAACAGTACTGATGGGATACTTCTACAATATATATGACAAGAATCATCAAACTTTTGACTGACACTTGGATGTACAAGACTACAAGTGCTTTAACTGTATGTACACTACAAAACAAAACCATGTAGACATGTAAAGATGTGTCCATAGAAACACAGTGGACACAGATTCACATGGGAGAAATGTGTTTGTTACAAAAAAAATAAAGAGAGAGTTCCAGTTACAGTATATTTCTAAAATCCGTGCAACAATATCTTAATATATGAAGAAGTTGTAACTGAGAAGTTATTACTGGATTGTTGGAAAAACACATCATTAATAGATTAATTTTCCTTTTTTGTTGTCTCATCCCTGTTTTGAGACTTACCAATAAGTATTCAACATTCTAGATACAGGAATAATAAGTAAACTGTCAGTCTACTTGACTGAAAACTAAGTCTGCTTCATCGAAGTTGCAACTTCTTTGCTGTACTCACATTCCTTTCAACTCTGAGATTTAAGTTACAATTTGCTCCATACAAGAACGACTTGCAATTGTGAAATGTTGCCCTGAACTGATGTTAGAGCAAAGCATTAGGATGGCATAAACTAAACAGTCATGATCATAGTAAGCAAACTAATAAAGCACATTGTTTTTTAATACTTTCATAGGAACATAGTTAAAATAGTGTTAAATACTTTCCAATAAGAAAAACAAAGCAATCTTTGACACTGTCCTTCCTTACCTCCCACTCTTTAGCAGCATCTTCAGTAGTAGATTCTTCACTAGTTTCAGGCTCTTCCTTCTTTTTTACCACTATAAATCCCGGTTCCCGAAGGGATTCCCCAGTATCTTCTGCATATATCTCTGGACTCCACTGGATAAAGAAGACATACAAGTGATCTGTCCTGGAGAAGTGAAGTAATGATACAAAAAAGAAAAACGAGGTAAGTTTGTGATCTTTTAGGTCATGTCTAATAATTATGAAGTATTTAAGGTTAAAATGAAAATACTTACTATTTCACGTTTTACTAAATATCAGAGACTTTCGAAAAAAGCTAGTTAGTATTTTTTTTTCTCCTTTTTAATTATACAAAGCTGACACTGGAGGAAAAACAGGAAAGAAGTTGGCAACTGACTAGCTATGTTTTCATATACAAGTACAGTCCTTCAAGCACTTCTGTCTTGTTGGAAACCTCTGTTTACAATCAAAATAACTGCCAAAAGAAAGCACTAGAGATTCATATTTTATTTAAAAAGCATTACATACAAACATAAACAAAACTGGAATTTAAAAATGCCTTCATGTCTGTTTTCCCCACCCCTGAAGAAGAGCTCAACAGTCCCAAGACATGTAACCAAAATTATACAGACTGTGATAATTACTACAGGTATAAGAAAATAAGGCTGAAAGTGTGCATATATATATAGCTTGATCATAAACTACAGACTCTTCTAACTGCAGTACCGCGGTAAGTATCAAGATACAAAAGTTACCTCCTTTTAAGTTATCTGCCACAAATGGCATGGTTCTCCACTTTGGAAGAACAAAATGCCCAAATTCCCAGAAGAAAGTTATTTACAAACCTAATAGATGTCAGCCTATACTGTATAAATATTTCCTATAGGTGCACAGATGGAGCATTTAGAAAAAAAGGATATGCAATGAATCCACTAGTATCTCTTCATCATGGGAAAGACAGCTTCAGAGCCAGAGCTTTATTACGAAGCTCTGATTATGCAGAGTTTGAATATTCCTTAGGTTTCTCTTCAGAGATATTCGCTATAGTGATACTGGATTAGCATGAAGAACAATATTTGGACTTTTCCCCCCCCCACCCCCTCCTTACTAAATCCTTGCAAAACTCCATACTGGAAGAACAGCAAAAGATATGGAGCAGCAAAGTCTCTCAAAACTGCAGCTATAATGTTTCATCTGCCTCTATGCCTAAAAGGATGCAGCACACAGGTGTGTAACAATAGTCTCTGAACAGGGTCAGTTATTCAAAGTCACCCTTGTTAAAATTAAGGTTCCTGGATAGCACTGACAAAAGGAAAAAAAAAAGACAAATCTTTCTCTGAGAGTAAGAGAGAATAAAACATTTCAGATGCATAAGGCTAGATAAGTTCTATGACAAAGTCATAACAAGAAGCTGCAGGCTCCCCATGCACTGAATGAGGTATCAATTTTAAAAAGTCTTACAAAAGTAGGAAAATTTTTTTAATAAATCCTGACTTTAACTTTTTAAGAACTTGAAATTGTGTATAATTATAGCAGTTAAAAAAGTAAATAAAACCTGATGCTTAAGGAACTAAGACAATCCTTCCCAGACTGGCTCATTTGAGATTAAGAACACTGAAATAATGCAGGTTTATCAGATAACTACTTTTTTCTCTTTCTTACCACTAGGTGACAAAGACAGCTGGGTTGACACTAAATATTTTGACCTATGCAGAGTAGCACCCAGGAAGGCTGACACTGAATTAAGAAAACAGACACCCCACTACCACCACATGCAACTTTTTGTGTACAAAAACATAGGACACACATTGGATGGATAAAGAACAGACTACTAATTCCCCATGCAGTTAAAGAGAGAAACCCTTCATAGATGGAGTAATTTCCAAGGAGATCAGATATAGACTGTAAACTAAGAACTATTTCTGAAATAGATGATAAATTCTGCCTTATGCTGAAGATAAGTACTTGCTCTGCTACAGTAGAAATAACTGAAACAGGCAGTGATGATTTTAATTAGCTGACCTAGACATCATTGCCATATGTGAAACATTTATCTGTTTTCAAATTAAAATGTGATACGAATAGAACAAGAAAATTTGAGTTGACTGTAACCACAAAAGGTCACCTGGCCAAGGCAGGATTAGCTATACCAGAATCAGCATGACAGACATTTGTCTCAAGAAATTGCATAATCTCCACCACTTAGGGGTAGTGGGGGTGATGTTTAAAAGCAGGTTACTGATGTGCTAGCATAGACTTGATTCTCCCTGTTGGAAAACTCAAATAATTTAATGTAATTTCAGTCCATTACACATCTCCATTCACAGTGGACAGGAAAAAAAGACTACTGCCTTTCTTGTTGCAGCCAACTTTTAAGTATGAAATGATTTTATGTTTGTAATCAACCTTTTCTCCTTTAGATTAAAGAACCCCACTTACTTCTAATTTTCTTTATATGTTACACTTTCTAGGCATTAATTAGTCTTGCTGCTTTCCTCAGGACTCTCTCCAATTGATCCATATCTGTCCTCAACTGCAGTGCCTCAACTGGACATTCTATGCCATTCAGCTCAAAAGAAAAGATGGAAAAGTGACTTGATCATTGTGTGTAGGTATTTAAACAAGATGATAGCTGATAGTTTTTTGTTGTTTTTTCTTTCTCTTTCCCCCCCCCTCTTCTGACAAGGATACAATAATCTCCAATACCCCCAAAAATCACATTCAACTTGAAAATAAATCAGTTTCCTAGCAGTAAAGATCATTTAAGAATTCAAGACTTTATCAGTGAGTGAGCATGGACATCTCATGTCTTTGAATCACTGCAACAAACTTAGATATTTTTTCCAGTAGATATATTTAAGTTGCTTCCTGGAAAAGCTTTATGTTCCATATAAAAAGATAAGACAAAAGAACTCCCACTAGCTCTTCTGAACTCAGAGCTCTAAGAAGTAGAGAGAATTTTTAGAAAGTTTCCAAGTAATGGGAAGCACAGAGTATGACATTAAAAACTTTGTTGCAGAACTCACTTCCTTCACCAGACACCACTTACTTGAATCTTTCTTTCATTTTTTATTTGCTACAAACACAAGCCTAAATACTACCATGAGAAACTATTGGCTGAACCTACAAGTAACTCAAGTAAATCAGTAAAACTTTAGTATGGTAATGAGGTATTCCAGTGTTAAGTACAAGCCAATCATCAATATGCTCAGCTGTTGACCCTTTTTTGTGTTGCTTTATAGACACAGTCACTGAAAAATTTTGAATGGTGCAGTAAACAAAAAAACCTCGAATACCTATTGGAAAGTGTTGATTTTTACAGTCTACCTCCTTCTTACCTTTCTTGTGGAACAGCAAACCAGTACTCATGTTTTTTATCCCTCTGTGCATACTGTTGCATTGATGCACTTGCTTGTGAAACAAATGTTTTTCTCATGGGTTTTCCAACCCTGAGACGCAGAAACTTGTGAGACCGATGCCGTCTTTTTTCTTTCATAAGAGAAGAGCCTATTAGTAAAGAAAAAGTAAGCTATCCACAATGTACAAAAGAACTTAAAATTATTAGCCAATTTTGTATTAGGCAATACAGGTATATAGGACGTTTATATAAATAATAGGAGATGAGGTAACATAGGTAGTAATAATTACCTGTCCTTTTTTTGTTACGTGAATTGCATCAGCAGAATTAACTTCAGAGTACAAAACATTTGAATAATTCTAACATTCATTTCTGCTTATGATAGTCTGTCATCCATGCTTGAAAGTATTTCAGAAGGTATTCTCAATGCATATCCCACAACACTGAATTAGACAACCCTCCCACTGCTCAAAAGATATTCCACATATGTGCAAAATATACAGCGTTAAGTAAGTACTTAGGCTTGATTCACATATGTCAAAGCTGTTCATTAGTTACTTTTCATTTAAAAAAGAAGAGCTCTGGCACTACTAATAGAAGATTGAGATGAATTTTAATTTGTTAGCTATATCAAACACTTCAAAAGTATGAACACCACTTCAGGATGAAGTATACTGGATGTTGCGGTACAGCATTTTACCCTTTAGTGGTAAATTAGAATTATATGATTACCCTCAAGGTCTGGATTGTCAAGTCAGCACAAGGTAAAGGAAGAAGCCTTCTCAAAATTGTTTCTTTGCTAGATTAATTGTCCAAATCCTAGAACATGAGTTCCAGCCACAAGAGACTTTTTGAAGCGAAGAAAGAAAATGTAAATTTAAGAGTTCTTATGATCAGCTATGACAACAAAGGATTTATCCTACCTCTGGTGTTACCTGTACATACAGGTATGTTCCAATTTTCTAGGACACTCATCTTTTAACAGCTGAAGTTCTCATTCAGTGTCTATGCAGACTACAGATACACTAAGCATAGAAAATATCACCTTCTTGATCTATAAAAAAACTCCACTGTATGTTTTCCTCAATCAGATTTTCACCATAAAGTTTAGAATAGCACTGTTCCACAAAATCAGCAAGTGTTGAAATGTGAGCCTCCTAATTTTCAGTTACAACATTTTAGAATTATACCTGCAGTATACAGTACGGTGGAATATGCATGGTCATAATATGCATGACTTGGAAGTATTTTATAAATCTGTAAGCTCCAAGGTAAACTATCAGATTAAAAAAACCCAAACAAAACCAAAACAAAAAGAACCCAAAATAAACAAAAAACCTGTTTCATAGAACTGGCACATAAACTTTGTGGCAGTGTTAGAGAAGTACTCCTAAAATAATCTGATATTTGGGATTTAGGTTGTTCAGATGCAGCAGTTTAGAACTTCTCTGATCTAGAGCTCAGAGAAGTGGGATTTGTGCCATACCTTAAAAAAAAAAAAAAGTAAGATTATAGTTCCAGCTAGCAGAGAGAATGAAAACAAACAGTTTAACCCTGTCCCCAAATCTCAAAAGGACTATTTAAGATGCTTTTTTTCATGTGTTCTCCAATATATTTTTCTATATTTGACAGAGAATTCATCAGAAAAAAAAAATTTAGTACTGGCTATTGTGTCTCATGCTTTTTTTTTTTCCTTTCAATTTCTGCCAATATCCAGCTAGCTAAGCAGCAAACAGACATGTTATCTTTAATGAGATTTCAGCTTGTTTACACACACACAGAACTATAGACCATTACAATTTCTCCAAAGTATCAACTACATCTAGCTTTTATTTCAGTCCAGTAGTCAATATAAGTGTCTGTAAAAATAGAGAATATAAAAGACTCCTGAGTAATAATAAAAAAAAAAAAACAAAGGAGGCCTTTTTAGCTATTCTAGTCCACTCAGTTATCAACTTGCATTGCATCACCTGTACAACATTCAGAACAAATAAATCATTAATTCCAAACTCAGAAACATTTGACCTCTGTGTAGATCAAGAAATGGTAGTTCCCAAAAACCTAGATACTCAAAACTCCCATAAAAGAGAAGAAATTCAATTAAGTCCTTGCTATATGCAGGAAATAAAAATACTATCTAGGTAACTTAATGATACAAAACTAAAGTGTGACTACTAGAGTTTTAGTCCAATAGACACGATATTAGAAAATGTTTACAGTGTTTCAATTTTTTTAATGACCTAGCGTTTTTAGTGACCTACTGTTAATAGACCTGTCATATTTAGTCTTCGATGACCTTCATCAAGAGTTAAGCAATAGATCTATGCTTTTATCTTGGCTCTGTTTAAACATGCCTGTAGACAAAGCCAGTAGAAGCTTCACCAAATCTATCTAGATTGAGAAATATTAATTCATAATTTACTGTTTTATTTGTATTCTGCTAATACAACATGCAAGAATAAGAAACACACAATAATTCCAACTGAAGCCAGACTGAAGTCATTAGCACAAATCTCCAAAAAGTAACCTGTGCTTTTTTTTTTTCTGTTTTACCCCCACAACCTTCAGCGAGGCTGTACCACCACATGCAGAAGGTTTCTAGCCACACTCCTCTGCCTGCCTGCAGACACTTTCTTGATTATATATGTATATAGTCTGTGACTGTACGAAAAACCTGCAGTCACTCAGTGATACAATCTTCTAGAAAACCAACAAAATTACAGCATCTCATACAACTGAATTACAAATAGTATTCAATTGTACAAAAAGCAGCAATTGTGGGAAAGAACGCTTGCTGCTTGCATTTTTTAAAAGTCACAACCAGCAACTACTGCTAGCTGACATTTTTGCCAGATGATTTCCTCTAATATTCAAGGCATAAAAGCCAATCTTAACACAAAATGATGCAACTATTAATCTGCTTCAAACTTCAAAATTCAGTTACTTCCTTAACAGAAGGATGATAAAAACCCGAAAACTATCATATCAGATTCTGAAGTACAAGATGAATTTCTGTCAACAGAAGAATCTAATATAATCTCAACTATTAATAATCAACATAAACAATTTGACCTTCAAATGCACTTTACATATAATCTATTCGTTTGTGACAGGCATTATAGATATGTTTTCTTTCTAGCCCCCAAAATATTACACAATTAAAACAACTAGTTTATCTCCATTAGCAAGATGGTAAGGGATCAAAAAGTGACCTATGATTTTTTTAAAAAGCAAAATCAACTACATACAGAAACATCTTTAAGTTACTTAAAAAAAGATACAGCATTTTTTATATGGTTTGAGTAACTTCAGACTTTCAAGACAACTTCTGACTAATAATACTAAGGCTTGATCTTTGTGGATGAGTAAAGGTACTCAAGAAATAAAGCTAGCTGTTCCCCATTTTCACAGCATTAATTTCTTACCATCTAGCTCTTATTTATCCTGAGAAACACTTTTTGTATGCTTAACCTTATTCTAGTCAGCATGAACGCATGACAAGATGCATGTGAAACAAAGTTCTGAAAGTATCAGTGTTAAGGCTCCAGTGTTCATTGCTCACATCATAAACCTTAACCACAAGGTAGACACACTATAAATAAGATCAAATTCATTCCCTGAAATTCATTCATACACATGTACACTGGGATCAAAATTTAAGTGACAGCTAGCTGATTGCTACAGAACATTTTTAATTTTGAGCTCTACAGTGACCAATGCATCATGGATCTAATTTTCCAGGCTCATTTAAATCTCCCCTACAAAGATACTGTGTTTTGCTGTGATCATAAATATAATTTCAATGAGGAAAAATGACAGTAACAAAGGTATCCAAGTTTTCAGTTTCCTGAGCAATATTTCCCCATGGGTTTACATAAGGTATATCTTCAAGCCAATGAGAAATGTAGGCAATATATGGGGAGATGTGTTCTACAGAATGAAAAACAATGAAAATTCTGATGAGCTGGAGGGAGACACATCGTAAATCTGAAGGCTAACACTGTATCCGTAAATACTGACTCACTCACCTTCTAATTGCCCATCTCCTGCAGTCACAGTTTTCTGACTAATTTCTTTTTGCGAATCCTGTTGCATGTTTTCTCGTTGCTGTTTGGTTTGTTGCATAGTGTGGGTCTTCCAGAGTTTGCGGAGTTCCTCAACTTCTGTCTCTGAGTCTTGAGTTTGCTCTTTCACTACTTTTCCTTTGCTAGTTGTATCTTTCTTTTGAGAGTTTGTGGTATCTTCACAACGTGGACATTCTTCTCCTGTCTTACTCTCTCCTTCTGGTTCTTTTCCTAGTGAGGAATCTTGATCGTTGCCCACTTCTGCCTCTTTGTTGTGCTTTTCACTACCATGTGATCCTTGCAAAGACTGCTGGAGGACATCTGCAATGTTTTCACTAGGTTCTTGTCCCCCCTTTATAGACATTTCAGCACTTTCTGAACCTAAGCTGTGGGTACCAAACTGTTTAACATTTACAAGCATTTCGGCACTGGGTTTTAAGTCACTGGCAGCTTCATTTGAGTCTGAAATGATTGTTAAACATTCAGCACTAGTCTGGTTTATTGTTTGGACAGATTCTGATGATGCTCCAGAAGATTTGTCTTGTCGAAGCTCATCTGAGGAAACAAGTTCCTCACGTATTGGAGAGAGTTCTGATTCTGTGAAGACATCTTCTGAGAGAGACTCCTCTGTGCTCCTTGGGGCAGTACTAGCACTATCATTGCCTGTATCCCGAATCCTAGAATCCATTTCATCTGTATTGCTCTTTGCAGCTTTCTTGGAATGGCACAGTTCCCTTACAGACAGCTGTTCTACATCTCTGTTGAGCAAATAAGAATGTTGTTATATGTTGATGCCTTTTACATTGAACTCTTTTCTTTACTAAGTTTTGTTTAATGCTGAAAAAATTTAAAGGTGCTCTTAAAAAAAAAAAGAAACTTAAAAAACTTAATCCAGAGCATCAGTAATAGGAAAGAAGAATAAAATATGTTCTTGTCGGTAAGCTTATGGCAGACCTTTTGCCAGCATGACATACATAGGACTTCCCAACTTCATGACATTACTTTCACAAGGAGAAGCTCTCCTATGAAACCAATAAAGATTGTTTAAGATGCTTAAAGTGTAAAAATAAAATAAAAAACAGGGGGAAAACAACAAAAAGCTACACACAACCATAATCTCTAAAGGCAGAAATTTTTCACAACCTTTTAAGATTTGTCTACTAAAGAGGCCAGTACAATTGTATAGAACTGTCCCACTCTATTATGAAGTTGACACCTTGCTCACTGGTAAGATATGAGTGGCAGAAATCATCTGGTCTAACCTTAACTATCTAAGCTAGTCAATGCAGAACAACAGGAACCATCAAGGTAGATCTTATCATTCTGCCCATGGGAAATACCTAACAGTGATTAGTGTCTTCACCAGTCAGGTACCTAACTTTGAGGACACCACTGCTGGGCAAAATAAATCCCAAACTACTTGGTAAAACTGAACAATTTAAAGAGCAGACATCAAATGTTGATAAATAGTGTAAGAAAAAAGCAAGCATAAAAGAACCTATTCTCCCCAAAGCAAATAATCTTATTCAAACCTGCCTTTCAAAATAAGCTAACCAGAAATTCTATGAGTTTTAGAAGAAGAGGACTACAAGGGGACTGCGAACATGCTCAACTATACCTACAGGACTCAAGCTTTTCCACTGTTGTCAAAAGAAACTTGAGCAGTACACAGCCTTCATAAAAAAAATCCTCATGCTTAAACATACTTCTGACTAGACTTCTCAATGCTAACTCCCTTGCTACCACAAGCACATTACATCTTCCATTACCGAGTATCAAATGCTTTTAAGAAGCTTGTACCTTAATCTCCCATCTTGAAGAAGGATAAATCCACTCCACATTTCTACAAAACTTTTTATTCAGTTAGGTCATATTACTGACACTACTGAGACACTGCTAAAATTCAGGATGCTTGCAAAACACATGCACCCTCTTACTCAAGTGTTAACATGAAGCTGATATTAAGCTTGTGCTGATATAGTAATTTTGCTTACAAAGCATGTGGATTAGAGTTTAGGATTTATCCCCTATTAAATTTGGCAGTTTCCTTAATTTTTCAGGATTATGCTGGTAATAGGTGCTCTTGGACAAGCACAACTTAAGGTTCATGAAATCTGTAAAACATCTGTGTGTTTTCATGTATATTTTTTTCCACTTTCAGCATAGATTGTGACATATACAGAAACCATACAACATGAAATTGCAGTTTTAAGAACCAAAGAATCCATCGGGTTTGTGATCAGTTTCCATTATTTTCAGTATTCAGACTTTTTCCAAGTTCAAACAGGTTTGAGAGTTGGCAAAATTGGGAGAGGAGAGGGTTAGTTATAACAGTGGAATATTTAGAAAAAACCCAAATAGTAGGAAACCATGACTTAAGTCTCAAATACCTGAAGACACACAGGTCTTGTCAGATCTAGCTGTAGCTGCTGGGAGTTCTGGTTACAGACAAGAAATTTGAATTTTATTTTCCCCAAAGTTTACAAACATGCCTCAAATTTTAATGAGGTTAAGGCATAAAAGTGCTGGGACTGAAGAAAACACTAGAAGTTAGTGTTCCATTTAATAGTTTATAAAGTTGACAAGAAAGATAAATAAGATTGGACATAGAAGGCTCTGAAAGCACGGTGTGACCTTTCATTATTAAACATGTTTTCATTCCATATACATTTATATTATAAACAAAACATAATAGAAAATGCATGTGCTACAAGAGCACAAAAATCACCAGGGCATGGATGGTAAATTTGTAAGTCAACATTGGGTCATTAAGAAACTAAACATGCTAGGAAAGAGACTTGTTTTGCAACTGCAATATTATGATTCAAACAGGTAGATTAAAAAGAGTCATCTAATTTTCATAACCTCACTACTTGCTCTATATATCAGTTGAAGTAGGAACTATGAACAACTTTTTAAAACTCAATCTGGAAAATAAACTTCCAGAAAGCAATCATGCTGAAGGCATAATCATTCTACATCAAAAGCCCCAAAAGTACTGCTATAGTAGTACATACATTAGTTGCTCTTTCAAGAAACACATGACTTCAGGCAGCAAACAAGACTGTGCCAAGATACCAGTTCACTACCAGGTCTCTGCTGAAACTGAACTTAAAAATGGTATGAGACAAGTTATTTCTTCTGGGTGTCCAGATATGCAAGATTATCAAGAAAGATATGCTTAGCATACTGCCTGTAAGAACTCCAAAAGGGCATTTTTCAGAGTCACTGAGTATCTTTATAGCTTACTTAAAATGGCTGCATTTTTCAGTTACACATCAGGGAAACAGCTTTACTCTTCCGTACATATAGACAACTCTAGCTCGGTTAAAGGAGTTCACTTCCCTGCAGTTAGACAGTCAAGGTACTCTGCAAATGTTTGTGCTTTATATGCTGCAATATGTAGACGTGGCATGATTTTTTAAATCTTTTTTTTTTTAAATCCTTTTTGGCTTTAATGTTAGGATTCATCCTATTTCTGAGGGCAGTATAAAAATTAGGCAGATAGAATGGAATAAAGATTTTTCATAATGCTATTTAAAGTCAGTTTTAAATGCTAAACACCAGCAATTAAAGCTCACCAATCTAAATTCACTCTGTTCACCCCAAACAAGGCTACACCCAAAGGCAAATATGCAGTTCCTCCCCTAGCCAAAAAGGGAAAAAAAATATACTCCTAATGCCACAAAAATATACACAAGCCTCAGAAAATTAGTCTTACAATCATTTATCAGAGCAACAAGAGGGTATGTGAAGCTAGTTTGAGAAGCAAGTGGAAAATGGTAAACAATAAAGATTTGCACCTAAAGCTGTTTAAGTTGGACTTTTCTATTCTGTACATCAGTTTTTTAAACTACCGAAGAATCAAAACGCATCTGTTACTGTTTTCATAGCAGGTAAGGGGCAAAAAGAAGTGGTGTGGTACCTCTTGCTATACACTGATTTTTAAAAGAGACTATTAGAGGAAACTAGAATCCATGTATATAGAAGAGGATTTATTCTATACAGTATACAGAATGTGAGAACTTAAGGTAACACAAGCTTTCTCAAGGGTCTTTCCATGCCAATCTTTGATGTTTTTCTTAAAAGGGAAAACAGAAGAAAATGTGGTTTTGCAAGTTCTGTATGGTCAGCAATATGGCTACAGTTCATATTTACTCAAAGCTTTATAAAGGCTATTCTATCTTACATGCTTAATGAATCCTTAATTTTGCTGTCCACAATTTCCTTATACAGAGCAGCTGACATCACTTCTTCCATTGGACACATGATGCCATACTCTTCACAGCCGTTCTCTTGGACCAGAGGATCCATTTTATGAGGATCAAACATTATATTATTTGGCGTCACTAGCAGCACACCATTGACTGTACCCTAAAATGAGAGGGAAAAGAAGAAGTGGTAAATATTCTCCTTTATATTTCAGCTTATTCTCCATTTTCTGGTAGGAAAAGAGCGTTTTCTAATTTGTTTCAAAAGCATCTTTGTATTTCTTTATTTAAGCAACTTTACACAGTTTCTTGAGTTTTGCAGTCATCTGGAAACATAACCATTTTTCTGGGGAAGCAAATTAATACCACCTACATTTCCAAAAGGAAAACAGTTTTGTTCCTCACAGCTACTTAATAGCTGCACTGAATAAAATAAGAGAAACCCTTGCACCCTAAAGGACAGGCTAGGCAGCTTCTCTGAGGTGAGATACATCCTTCCTGGATAACCACAGTGCCTATTGCTAGTTTTGCAAGAAACTTCAAGCACTGTCTAAAACCTGACTCTTAACTCTTAGCATTCTCTACTATTTAATTAAGAACAAAAAAAGAAAGATCTTTAAAAAGTCATTTATCTTCGTTTTCTTTACACAAAAGCAACAGCAGTATCCATTCTAACTTAACGGACCTGTTGACTGGTTGGACAAATACATTTATAGAATGAAACTACATTAAAAATATTAAAGATTTTCAAAGATGCAGCTGCACCAAGATGCAGCTTTGGATGGATTTAATCACAATCATACTGCTGCAGTACACAAATACAAGTAGATTTTAAACTAGTATGAAAAAATTTAAAGAAATTTGATACTCATACTATGAGCTGTAGGGCTCTTACACAATACAGGTACCAAGCTAATTTACAGTATGTTGAATTTTTTTTTTTCCCAAGCATTAGAAACACATGCAAACACCAACACGAGTTGCCTGTTAAGGAAATTCATTGAACTATTAGCGCAGTAGAGTTTAAGCTAAAACTATAAACTGGGGGAAATATAGCTTTAAGCAGGATGATAGTGATTCTCCAGTGATAGATCTTGAATCCTAAGGACTTTACAAATTTAGAAAGACATTCAAAACTTCTGTGCAGGAATCATAAAAGAATTACTTCATGCACTGCTGAAGCTTATCAGGAATTGAATAAATATCCAGCTCACTGATAAACTGTTCACAGTGATTATACACATTGTGTACTGGGGGGCATTGTTTGTTTTCAGTTTTGTTTTAAGACAACATATCAGCAGCACAACTACATTCCTTCCCATTTACAGAAATTTGTTGCCAGCACTGTGATGGTTGATGACCTTCACAGCAGAAAAACAAAGATGCCATATAGTGAGCACAAAATTACAAGTTATAAAAAACAAACCAAAAATAGTATTAAAGCCTACAGCAATGACCAATGGTATCACTATTACAGAAAAATGAAAACAGTCTCAAAAGCAGTTCAGGCATTTGTACTTAAGTACTCTTAGTTGTTTTGTGCCTAGTCAGGTTTTATATGTGCCTTTTAGAGTGCAAAGCATATGCTAAAGACTTTGAAGTCAGCAGAACATATTTACATAACTCTAAGGAGTTTAAGACACTGAAACAAACTGTCACTGCTATTTCTTTCCCAGCAGTGTATTGTGGAAATAGACTTTCAAGGTGCAAAAAGGAACTCCAAAAGGATGACTGTCAACATAAGTCTATATTTGGTTATATCCACTGTAGTCTAGAACATAAATTCAACATGACTGCAAAAGTCAATGAGTCTACTCATAAGAATAATTGCTTCTCTTTACACAAAAATACTACTTCCATAAATTCAGCGCATAACACAAAAAGCAGTATAATTTCTAGATCTGAACTCTTTCATTAAATGACCACACATGAAAGTGGAATTTTATCAATATTCTCCAGATCTGACCCAGAAAAGTCAAGGCCATAGCCTTGATGGCAGTTGGACTAGATTATCATTGTAGGCCCCTTCCAACTGAAATATTCTATTCCTTCACTTCCCACATGCTCCACGTGAATCTTCAGAACAGTCAGGCTGGAGAGAAAAAAAGGTAAGGTTGTATGACTGCTCTAGCTGAAGGATTTAAACATTCAATACCAACTTATAAAATGATGTATTAGTCAGTAGAAGCAATCAGTAATCAAGTTCACTGGAGAACTCCTCATTTCAGACTAAGATTTTGTCTTCACTTGTTCACTATTTCATGAACAAACGATTCTTCCTTGATAAATCACATACACAGGAAGTCTAAAGCTTTTGAGGCTGCAGAGGACTTTAGGTAATAAAAGGAGATGACACTTTCCTATCAAGGGGTGAGCTGTCACAACTGAAATATCACCCATGTCAACAAGTTCCCTGGTTTTATGAAACAAACACAAAATCCAATGCTTTATCTGTGCTCTCAAAAGCAAGTTAAAAGACTGCTTCAGCTGGCAGTCCAGCTCAAAAATTGATTAAAGACTATTTTACTGCAAAATAAGTTGAAAGTTTCATAAGTCCATTTTACATTGCTTATCTGAACACTAGAGTCACAACATTAGAATAACATGTGAGAAGAACCAGTTGCACATCTTCTCATTTCAGTTACCTTGCTTCAGCTTCAATTTTAGCAGTTCAGAAAACACCAACTTACCCCTCCCAAAACCCACAGGCCAGGCTTGTCAATATCTTAAAAAAATGTCATCATATCCAGGACAAAAGTCTGTTTCCAGGGCAAATTTGAATGCCTTTAAAGAAATTGTGTAGTACCTCGTGTCTCAGACACTGAGGAACAAAAGATACAATCCTTCTGCAGGCTAACGTTCAGCCAAAGCAGCGTGCAAGACTACCGACTACATAAGGAAAACAAGTTTAAAGAGACTTTATTGTAAATAGAAGCTTCCTAGAACAGTCTGACAACGACCTGTCTGATGGCAGAAAACCCCCAAACCTGTACATCAGGCAATTGTCCTGGACACGCACGGAAGATTCTAAAGCCTACCTCTGCAGCCTCAACAAAAGACACAGCTAGAATTCTAAAACCTTGCTTATCTTGGTCTTAGAAGAAACCCTCAACACCAACAGGTAAATACTCAGCATAAATGGAATTACACTTTCAGATTAATTTTTAAAATTTATGACACTGATAGAGAAATAGAGAATTAAACCTTTGGAACTATCAGGCTTTTATGTGTACTTGACTAAGAAGCTGATCAAACACTTCACTTGCAATGAGTATAAGCAGTTGAAAGATTATACAGATATCTTGAAAACACTGGTTTTATAGCACCTCAACAAGAGATGACCTATTTCGTTGTTATCTCTTTAAAAGACGACAGGAGGCAGACCAATGCAACATTTCTGGCTCACAAGTTATTTGATATGGTCCACAGTTACTACATGAACACTTCAGGGTACTTCACTAGAGAAGAATTGCTGCCCCAAATTTACAGGATAGAAGTGAGATTCTTAATAATACACTAAACATCATTAATATTTTTGTCATTTTTTATTATTATTACCAAGGATCACTGAATGTTAATCTAGGTAGCTAGGTAAAGCTCAGGCAACAGCCAGATAAAGAAATATTTTGTTCTGTCCCAAGTTTTAATTATTCTTTTTCAGACATGCCAGTGTTTCTGCCACTTTCTCTGACAATTTCTATGACTCTTTTATAAGACAAATAGCTTCTCTCTTTACCACCTTCTAACTTGTTTGCAGGAGAAAAGCTTCCTTAAAAACCTGTGGAACATTTATTACTCAACAGATGGAGTTTCTAGCATGGACAGAAACCAAGTGCCACTGATTCTGTGAGAAAAAAAAAAAGCCACAGGTAACATCAGAACAAAACTTGTAAGTGGGAGCATACGTGCATCTAGCCAACCACTGGTCAAGAATTGCTCATTGCAGTATGCTAGTCTTCCCTGAAAGATGGAAACTGAAGCAGCTCCAGCCTTTGAAAGCTAACACCACACTTTTGCATAAGATAAAAATTACATATCCTCTTTAAAGGAGAGTACCTGAAACTTCATTCCCTTGTTGGTTTGCCATTATGGATCAGACAGACTTCTATGTTAGCATTCTTACAATACATATACTTCAGAACTATTGTCTCAGAGTAAGCCAGCGATGAACTCCTGAGCATTTTAGTACCACTGTGGTGGGTTGACCCTGGCTAGACGCCAGGTGCCCACCAAAGCCGCTCTATCACTCCCCTCCGCAGCTGGACAGGGGAGAGAAAATGTAACAAAAAGCTCGTGGGTCGAGATAAGGACAGGGAGAGATCACTCACCCATTACTGTCACAGGCAAAACAAGACTCGACTTGGAGAAATCAATTCAATTTATTACCAATCAAATCAGAGTAGGATAATGAGAAAATAAAAACCAAATCTTAAAACACCTTCCCCCTACCCCTCCCTTCTTCCCAGGCTCAACTTCACTCCTGATTTCTCTACCTCCTCCCCTCCGAGCAGTGCAGGGGGACGGGGAATGGGGGTTGCAGTCAGTTCATCACACATTGTCTCTGCCACTCCTTCCTCCTCAGGGCGAGGACTCCTTACACTCTTCCCCTGCTCCAGTGTGGGGTCCCTCCCACAGGAGACAGTCCTCCATGAACTTCTCCAACATGAGTCCTTCCCACAGGCTAGTTCTTCATGAACTGCTCCAGCGTGGGTCCCCCACAGGGTCACGAGTCCTGCCAGGAAACCTGCTCCAGCCTGGGCTCCTCTCTCCACAGGGCCACAGGTCCTGCCAGGAGCCTGCTCCAGCACAGGCTTCCCATGGGGTCACAGCCTCCTTCGGGCACATCCCCTGCTCTGGCATGGGGTCCTCCACAGGCTGCAGGTGGATACCTGCTCCACTGTGGATCTCCATGGGCTGCAGGGGAACGGCCTGCCTCACCATGGTCTTCACCATGGGCTGCAGGGGAATCTCCTCTCTGGCACCTGGAGCACCTCCTTCTTCACTGACCTGGGTGTCTGCAGGGCTGTTTCTCTCACATATTTTCACCCTTCTCTTCAGCTGCAGTTTCTGTTGCACAGGTGGTTTTTTTTTTTTCCCCTTCTTAACTATGTTATCCCAGAGGCACTACCACCATTGCTGATGGGCTTGACCTTGGCCAGCAGTGGGTCCGTCTTGGAGCCGGCTGGCATTGGCGCTATTGGACACAGGAAACTTCTAGCAGCTTCTCACAGAAGCCACCGTTGTAGCCCCCCTGCTACCAAAACCTTGCCATGCAAACCCAATACACACACTCTAGGTTCTGAAGTGACTTTTCTGATTACTCATACACATTTATGCACTATGACAGCAGATGTCCCAGTAGTTCTACAAAATACTCAGAAATGGGTAACAACACTGCTGCCAGGAAAAAAATCCTACAACATAGTGTTCTTTAGTGACTCACTTTCAATTACCTGACCTCCCCTACTATCTTACAAGCACTATAGAAGACTGATAGCCTGACGTCTGCTCCCCATAAAATCTTCTTGGTTCCTTGCTTTTGGAGCAGGAAGAATGTTCCAAAGCTCCCTCTCTGGCTTGGCTGAGCTGCTAAAAATATTTTCAGTGTGAATGTATTCTTCAGAGTAAAGAATAGCATGGGGACTTATTGACTAAGTAAAGCCCTTCCTATGCCCTCACCTACCAATATCAACACAGGGAGATGAGCCCAGCTTCTCCTTTGTGGTCATGCTCTGTCATGCTGTGTCTTCAGCACAAATCCCTTCGATGGTAATCAAGTATTTGTTGAACATTTTAGAAACAGCTCTTTGACTTTATTTTATACAAATTCAATTTTCAAAATATTTTCAGAAAATTACTTGTACCAGTAACGTAGCTAGAGAGAGACAAATCAGCAAATCAGAGCACAAGTATAAACAAAAAGTATGGTCAATGGCACGCACACTACAAACTCCTACATGACTCCAGTATATTGCTAGTGTTTGCTCTAATCTCCTAATTTTCTAGTCCTGGAGAAAAAAGAAAAAAGTCTATAAGCAGCTCAATTGTTGATAAAGGACAGTAGGAAACAGTTTTTTAGGACATCCTCCACCAAACAGCTAGTGACTTGTTTCTCTTGGACCATACTTCTAACTAGTTGTTGAGGAAAAAAGTATCAAAGGCTCTGTCAATGAAACTGAAGTAAAAATTGGACTCTGCATATAGCTACTAAGTAGTTGAACATGATACTGTTACAGGAGGTTCTGGTTCTTGAACAAAACTCCCCAAAATACAACTTACGGAAGTCAAGTGTCCTGTGTGTAAGACAGATTCTAAAGACATGAAGTAAATTTCTATTCAGGTGAAGTTCAGATTTAACAGTCTCAATTATAGAATCATAGCATAGTTTGGGCTGGATGGGACCTTTAAAGGTCATCTAGCCCAACCCCCAGGAGAAACGCTGAGCAACTTTGTTACTGAAAACCATGTGGACACACTAAGTTATTAAAAATAGATCCCTTTGGTCTTAAAGCTGATCCAGAAAATATTAATCCAGATAAGCAAAAACATGAACATTTAAAGTAGCTTAAACTGCACCTGCGTGCAGATATTCAATTCTGAATTGGTTTTAACTTCTTTCCATTAAAGTTCCTTAAACCTCAGGAAGCGGGAGTTCTAAATATTACACAGTATTGAGACAGAAATTCAAACAATCATAATAAAGGGAGAATTAGAGCCAAACTTTATGACACTGATGAGCCCAAACATTAAGATTAGGCAGTTCAGTAAAACACACCTTTAAGAAGGTTTAAGAGGAAAACTGCTTGTCAGAAGTCAAACAGAAGTTACCTCTAAGTAATTGTTTTATGTTCTTGAACACACAAGGTAGAACAAAAACTGTAATTCACGATTTATGATGCTTTTATCATGAAGATAACAATTTAGTTTTATTCTTTGTTTCTTGTAGAAGTCTTGAACCTCATCAGTGTCCTCCTTTTCACTTCATGAACAATGTGTTTATGCTTTTTGTGCTGGTATTGACAGGTAGGGGTTTTTTATTTGTTTTTTTAAGCCTTAGTATTAGTAGTTTTCCTTTACCTACTACTTTTCAAAACAAGGCAAGTAAACTAGCAAGCATAAAAAAGAACAAAGAATTTCAGAGCTCCTCTATTAGTTCAGTTTCAATCAAGCGGACTGTTTAAGACACCTTTTTCTGCCTCCAACGAACAGCGCAAAGAACAAAAAAAACAGAGCAGCAAACGGTGTGGCTGCAACAAAGGGCATGCCTACATATGCAATAAACAGTGGGTTAAGGTGTGACTCTGCAGCACACTGGTTACTCTGCACTGATCTATCCTCTGACCAGGATGTGGCATATTCACACCTTGTTTCTAACTGTGCCCAACACCCTGCCTCTAACAGCAGCCATAACCAGATAACAAAGAGCAGATACTATAACAGAGCAACTGATTCCAGGCTCCAGCCACTGCATCTCAGAGAATTCCTGTGTGCTTGTCCAGGAAGTCACAGGAGTGACCAAAACAAACTCCAAACCTATACAGAATAAGCAGTCTTGAAAAGCGAGAAATGAGACAGTCTCACCTTAATGCAAGCCCTTTTGCATATGTGAAATTAAACACATTGAAAAAGAGGCTTTCACTAGATTTTAGTTTATGAGCATCAGTCACAGTGATGCCTGAGACTTCACATCTGAAGCCCTATAAAACAGTTAACAGTGAGCTTCAAAATCACATTCGGAGTGGGAAGCAGAGGATGAATCTTTTAAGTTTTCTCCAGAAAACCTTTGAATATTTATCATCCTGTATCATCAGGAAACGTATCAAGGAGAGGGTAAGATGACATGCCAGAGGACATTCCTACCACATGTGACAAAGGCTAAATTACATGCTAAACTTACGGAATCTAGCACTCAAATCTGAGCAAGTTAGCATTCATTTCTCTCCCCACCCACCTCCCCAAGTATGGACTGATACTGTGGTGGATTATACAACTCCTTAGAAACAGAATATTCCTTGAAGCTCTTAGAAAATAGGCTGTAAAGATGCAAGTTAAAGACAGATGCTGTGAACAGTCCTCATAATATTCTGATGAGGAATTACAGCACATAAATATTATATTTTTTTCAGTACAGCCAATTTCTAACAGAGGATCACTGTTCTCAATTCCTCTGCATCAGAGCACCTAAAACCAAATAGTAATGACTTGTCTGGGATTAACCTAAAAAAAGCCACCTAGGGACAGAACGCAAGGAGTGAAGCATATTAACAGCAAAGTAGGACGAAGTAACAAACAAAGCTTTTCTGGTACTTGTCTCACCAACTTCTAACACATAACTTTCACCAATATACATGTCAAAAGGCTTCAAGTCTAGATATACATAGATCTGCAATCCTTTCCATCAGCAAAGAAAATAAATGCAGTTTTAGGCAATTCTAATTAATCTGTTTATCATTAGTGTAACTTATCTGCAAACCTATTGCTGTGCAACACAGAATCAGCAGTGTTCATATATATATATATATACACACCCCCAAACTTCAGGTGAAGGAGGAAGTACTACAAGTACTTTGAGTTTCTTCACATTCATTCAACTTGAGTGAAGGCATGATTTTTCATGATTAAAGTGTCTAATAGTCATTTTTCTGTGGGGTGGGAGAGCAATACATTTTGTTTTTCTCCTAAAGCGTTCTGAGGTAAAGTCTTTTGACGTGACCTCGGTCCCTAAAAATCTGCATGAGACTTGTGCACTTATGAGCTGAATGGAAGTTAATTAAGTGCCGCTAACTTGGAGGTGTTGTGTAATGACAGCAAGAACTGTAATTACTGCTTCAAAGCGGGGGGGGGGGGGGGTGGGGGGGGTGTGTGTGGAAATCAAGATTTCTACCATACTATACCCAATACAGAAGTGTTTGTTTACAGAATCAGAGGTTAATTCTGCTCTCACTGTTCTGCTTTAGGAAAATTGAAGTGAAGCTACCAACTACATATTTCCTTATAGTTTAAGGCATGCTTTTCCCCACTGCAAGTAAAGAGAATTACTTATGAGAGATACTAATATAAGGAACAAACAGACCTCATGCCCTCAACACAAGAGAATCACTTAACAGTAGGGCTACAGGGAAGTTTGTCACCGGTTAATCACATTTTAACTGCTTCCATCACATCTAAGAAACAAGTGGTCTGGGAATCCAAAGGTAACAGTGAATAAAAAAAAAAAAAGAATATATTTATATAGACATATATGCATATAAGCTGATCCATCTACCTGTCCATAACTAAATTTTACTGTATGTTTATGGTTTAAAGGTACTTTATTTTTACATCCCATACAGTAACAGTAAAACCTGAACATTTAAGTACCTTGCCATTAGTGATGTACTTGCAATTAATTTTTAGAAATTTCTCTGTAAACGCTTCCTCCTCTTCGGAGGTGGATGATACCACTCTTGTAGGACGAACACATGCATGTGCTGGTGAAGCAGCAGACTCTTTCCGTTGGACTCCATCTGGATCCTAAAAGGGAATATAAAAAAAAAAAAAAAAAAAAGAAGCCCAAAACATTTAGCAACCTGCCTTTTTTAAGATTAAGAAATTTTCTGCTGTGTAATTTTCGTTCTTTTTCTTTGACATGAAAGCAAATGTAAAAATAGGGTTCCATATCCACTGCAGTTTAAAGGACTGCTTTGATCCGAGAGTGTATATAACTAACGAAGCACAGCTTAACCAGCCCATAATAAGAAATGCAAGTGGGCAAAGATATTCAGAATCAACTTGGGAATAAACAACAAAATAACGATGAGAACTCACACAAGGAAACCATCTGATATACTGTCATACACAAAATTTGAGCAGAAGTTAGCAGAAAGGATTATTTTTCAACTGCAACAGAAGTCCTATTAAATGTCTGTTATCTTTCCATAATATTATACACTACTTTATGTTGGAAGGTCAGCTAGTCCAACCCCGTGTTCAAAGCAGGCCTAAGCCTACATTAGGTCAGGTTTCTCACGGCCTTTCCAGTTGAGTTTAAGTCTTCAAGGCTGGAGAGTCCACAGCCTCTCCAAGAAAGCCACCCCAGTGTTTAACCACCCTCATTGTAAAAAATGTTCCTGTTATTTAACCAGGACCTCTTGTGCAGCAACTTGCAGCTGTTGCTGCCCACTGTTTTACTACGAACCTCTGAAAACCCCAACTCTTCTTGTCCTCCCTCTAACCTGTCTACTAGGTAGTACAACACAAAAATCAGGTTGTCCATTAGTATTTTCTTCTCCAGACTAAGAAAACCCCAGCTTTCTCAGACAATCCTTGTGCCTCATACATTTCCATTCCCTGATCCTCTTTATGGCCCTCCACTGGACTCTCTCCAGCATGTCACTTGTCTTGTACTGGAGGTGCCAGAAGTGGACACAACACTGCAAACGCAGCTCCACAAGCCCCCCAGAAAGGTGAATAATCATTTTCTTTAACCTGTTGGTATTCTTCTTTCATCTGCCACCTGGCATGTGATTAGCCTTCACCATCACAAGTGGACGTTTTTCAACACGTCCACCAGGACGCTAGCCTCAACCTCTCCTTGGCCCTTAGTCTTTTTCTGCAAAGCTGTGTAGCTAGCCAACCCCGCCACATGGGGCTCTTTCTGTCCCACAGGTCTTAGCTGTTGTTGATCTTCATGGGGTTTCTGTTACTTCATCTCTCCATACTCAATGTCCTTCTGATGAGCAGCCCATGGCCTTCCCTCCAGTGTATTGACCACTTTCCCTAATCTTTGCTGCCCATCCCTCCACCAAGCTTGCTGACAGTGCATTCTGTCCTCTGTCCCACCATTCAGGTCTCTGATGGGCAGATTATAAACAATGTTAGCCCCAATAGGGAGACTCAAGGATTTGTAACTGTCCACCACCATAGAAAAACAACAAAACCAACCACACACAAATGCTGAATCACTTTGAGCCCAAAGATCCTGCCAACTTTTCCAGCCCATCTTGTAGTCCAGCCATTCAGTTCACATTTCCCCAGTATTGTAACAAGGCTGCTTTGGAACAGTGTCAAGGGCCTGGCTCTAGTCAAGGTAAGTAGTTAATATATAAATATTACTATTTATAAAAACTGTGAACTTCCATGTTCCCTTCGGTTTTCTGCTTTTCTGTTCAGTTCTATTCACTAGTACAGATTGCAACTAAATGCCTTTAATCATACCCAGGAACATTATGCACAATTGTTTTCAGTTCATCATCTCTCTGGCATTACTTTAGCCTTTGCCTGCATCTTTCAATTTTAGTTAGAAAGCAAACAAAAAAACCCAAAAGAACTTACAGAACACTGAACTGAATTTTGCTGGAAAAGCTAATGAAGATATAATTAAAAAGCAAACTTTCTGGAGATGAGTTCTCCTTCTATATATGCCTTTCTCCTAAAAATTATGTGGTCACCTTTGTGACTGCATATAACTTAGCAAGTGGCTGCAAGAGTCCCCAGCTGATATCCAAGTCCACTGTGAATAAGCCAGCTATTTCTCATTCATATTGCCACGTGACACAGAAGCTGAAATAATACTGGTGGCAGACTTTCAAATTTAATGACAACACCCTTGTCACTACATGTTATTTTGAAGCGGATTTTAAGTTTTATAGGTAGTAAAGCTTATTGGATCTTCTCAAGTACGTGCATCTGATTGAATGAAGAAATCCTTCACAAAACCCAGCAGCGTAAGAAAGGCTTAAAAATCTAAGCTGACTTCTTACATAAACACTGACACTAACGAACTTATTGAAATACATGCTGAAATCCTAGCCTAAGTGTAGCAACGTAAAAAACTTAACAGGGTTATGCAGGTCTTATATTAGCCACGTGGTTGTGTTAAGCTACTACAATGTTTGATAAAACAGAAACAAAAGAACAAAGCACATCATAGTTTGTATTTTGCCTCAACAGAGGTTCAGATGTTGGTTAGTCATCTTATTCAATTTCTAGCAAGAACTCATTGATTTCTATGACCATAGCACAGAGGGAAGACCCCTTTACATTATACAGGCAGAGTAACATATCCTCTTTACCTTGAAATGTGCTTAAATTTAAACTGCAAATCTAGAGTCAAAATTGGAGGAGAGTCAAAGACGACAGACATCAGACATCAATACAGAGCATTAGAGAACGTATGCTAGTATTTCTCTTGTCCTTAAGGATAGCAATCAGCAAAGAAAGAAGAGAAATATGGAAAACAAGTGCTATGATGAAGAACAAAACCCTCCAGCCTCAACCGCTCAAACAGAAACTTAGTGCTTTTTGTGTTGCTGTTTAACAAACAAAACCAAACAAACATACACACACAGAGTCCACACTGACAAATGCAAGCGATTTCTGTTCTTTGCTTTCTTTTGACCAACTGCATCTAGGAACACCCCTTCCCTCCTTACATGTACTTCAAAAGACCTCAGAAACAGAAACTTCTAGAAACACTTTATTATATATTGTCACATTGCTTATTTGTTTGACTTTCCCTGAAGCATTTAAGAACTGCTTGTAGTGATCCACAACATGTAACGAGACACACAAAATAGTTCTGCAACAATACAGTAAGTGTCAGTTAAATGAAATTTAACACTCAAATTGTTGCCAACATCAAACTGCCTACACTAAACAAAATAACCTTTTGCATAAGAGGATTTTAACTTTTAAAGTATTTTAATCTACTTGGTTTCTTCTACATTTTCAAGCTTTTATCTCTGCTATGTGCATATAGTCAATAAAAAAGTTTCAAAAAAAAAATACAGGTATGGCTATACTATTAAGCCTCTTTATCTACTATACGCAAACAAGCATATACAAAATAATCCACAGAAGCAAGAATAAGGTATTTTTTCTGACATGGGATCTAGTGCACTGTACAGCTCTGATTTCTAGTAGTAAAACTAACAATTTTCCCTCGAGTCACTTCTCACGACATATGCTATATGGGTAGGCCTATCCTAGCATTTACAGTCATTCTGAGACTGATATAGAAGAATGTATTCCTGCAGACTAGTCTATTTACTGTGCTACAACACCTTCAGTTTGCCATAAAACATAGAAGAAATTATTCAGTACAAATGACAGCAGACACCTTATGAGAACAGGCATGCTATGTCAGAGTAAAGGTGGAACAGCAAAAACAATAGTAATTTTCAGTGGAAGAGTCATCACAGCCTTTGTAACGCAGCCTGGGAACCTATTCAGGAACAAAGCAATACCTTTATATTTAAACTTTTCTGGACCAAGCCATGCAAGCAAATAAATAAAGAAATGCTTAAAGTCTCAATTCCTAAACTTTGAGCACACAGAATCCTGGAGTAGACATTTGACAGCTTGACTGAGCACTATCAAGCAGTGCTATCAAGAAAATTTGTAATTTCAGAGAAAAGATAAGAATAACTGGGAAAAGAATAGTGACATATTAAGAAACATCTGAATAAGGTCATAACTGCATAAATTGCAGAGAAGCTCAGGCTCCAATACTGCACCTTCCTGGCTGGAGTTCTCCACATAGAATTCTGTTGACAGCAAACCGATGTTCCTGGAAAGACATTCTTCTACAAAGCTAGCTCCTAGCCAAAACCTACATTTGAGCTGAATTACAGAGCAGCTTTGATGGCTAAACAATTTTAGTATTTGAAAGTCTACAGAGGTAGAACCTACTGAGTAGAAGTCAGCTATAATCAACTCTGTATTAGCCCTTCACTGAAACAGACTTTTTTTTTTCCTTTACTTCATTTTGCTAAATGAAACTAGAGAACCCCATTCCACACCTCTACAGGGCACAGGGGGAGTCCTCACCGTTTAGCTACTTGAGTATTCTTGCCAATGTATCATTGCTACAAAAACTATCAAAAAGATTTAGAGACAAATGTTTAACTAGTTCTGAAAGGTAACAAATACAGAAATGCAACAGGAACTAGTATTTAAGATATCAGTGTGCGAGGATAGTATTTTGTTACAAATAACTTGCCTTCAAATCAGTTTTCACATAGAAAACTCATTTAAAAAGATTAAAAGCTTGTATTTACGTGAAAAAGGTACTATTTTACTTTTGAACTCCAAGTGTTGTAATTTCTCCTCAAAATGAATGGATAGTTTAAGAAGAAAGCATAGCATCTGTAACATTTACCTTGTAAGGGAAAGTTAATTTCAAGGACAACAGGTATACCTACATTTACTGTAGCCTTGTCAAGCTCTGCTTCGGAAGATGTAGGTGATAGGGGACTTATAGGACTTAGAGAGGGGGAGCTGTCCACACTAGAAATGTAGTCTGGGTCAGGAACATACAAAATCTATAAAGAAGATATAATGTAGTTAGAAGTCATACTTTCAGGTTTACTTTAGATTTCCCACTAGTTCAGGTATATTTGCTGTGCTTTCTCAAAATAAGCTATATTAAACTATTCCTGCTAATTTTAACAGAAATTATGAGTTGAGGGAATAAACAGCTCCACACAAAGCACTTCTTAACTTCAGCTTTTAAAGTTTTCAAATATTATCTTGAGATAAGATTGATCTTTAGTCATAATAATTGAGGAAAAAGTTCAGACAGAAAGCATTAAGAGTATAGAGCATGCCAGAAACACCCAATACAGAGTCCAAGGAAGACCTGCCCAATTATTTCTCTTGCTATTACTCTACTATTTGAGCAACCAAGAAACAGGTTGGGGAACAAGTTCATAGACATAGCTCTTAGCACTGAATGTAAAAAAAGAAAAAAAAAAAAATCAACTGAAGTTATTCACCCCTTAAATACAGTATTTTGGCCATTGTAGGCATTCAAGCTGCCTAGGCAAAGTTTTGCAGGAAGCAGAAATAAACACAGGATGTTTTCAAACAGAGGGCTAATACCGTAGCTGACCTATCACTTGTTTCCAGGCCTGGCTTTCAAAGAGAAGTGAAAAGTGAAGGCAAAAAAAAGGAAAGAAAAAGATGTAAGCAATAGTGACCTATAAGAAGTGAGTGATAGTTCCTATAGGGCCAGTCAAGACAGCAAGTTTTCAGGGTGGAATGTAAACATTATTCAATTTATTAAAAAAGAATTGCAGGCAGTAACATGCAGTCAGGAATGTTGTTTGTAACCTGTAGCCTGAATTTGTCTTCTGAGCTACAGCTGGTAAACAGACTGCTATATTTGCAAAGTAACAATTTAGCTTGTACCCAAGTGTTAAAACTAAATATACTTAATGGCATAATAAAAGTCCTCTGATCTTATTTAAGAGACAGGTAGCTTCATTACATGTTCCCTTTTTAGGCAGTTATTTAATAGGCACAAGGAATTCACAAACTAGAGAAAAATGAAAAAGTCTTTTACAAAGCCAATAGGAAAACCCATAAGAGAAGTACTTTAACACTTTCTCTGGTACAGATGAGAATTACAGGAAAAAAGGTTTTTGTTGGAAGTAACATATATAGTATAATAGTACCTGTCCAGGAACGACTGCTCTGGAGAAAAGCTTATTTAACTGAACCAGTTCATTGGGTGTTGTATCAAATTTCAAGGCAATACTGTTTAAAGTATCTCTTGATTCCACCTGTATCAATTAGGGGAAAAAGAAAAAGAAAAACAAACCTGTAAGCAGTTAGTTCAAATAGTGGCTTACAAATTTTATCACATGTAGATTTACCGAGATTTTGATGAACTTTAAGTCTTTGTACCTTATGATTGTCCTCTCCCCCCCTCAACACAACCCAAAAAACATACCTACCCCCTAAATATTAGTCTGTTGCAACCCAATGTAAGGACTCCTGCCTTCCCACTATGTTTCCAGGTGGCCATAAGTGTCAGTCACACACCCCGAGCTGTAGGCTCAGCTACTGCACCAGAACTTCTGATCTAGAAACTCACTGCTGGGTACCACTAGACCAATGCATGACCGATTGGTTTCGCAGAACCCTTCATTCTCCCTTTTCAACTCCTCTTCTCCGTTCTTCACTGATAGAAAAGCTGAAGCAATCTCTATAAGTGTAATCATGCTCTCTTCCTCTTGAAATAAGCTTCTGTTAACCTGACTTTCAAGTAAAATACATACCTGAGAAAGTAAAAATACTGAAGCAAAACAGGTCAACCAGTATGACAGCAGATGGAGCATAAGCATTTTGAGCAGGTGATTCCCAAGTAAGGGAAAGATTTTTTTCAAACTCTTGTTTTCAACCCCATCTCCCAAAATGTATTTGATATGAACCAACAGAGGAAAGCAAAGGGAAAAAAAGTTTTATTCACAAAAGGATTTTAGAATAAAGAATTCATAGCAAGCCTTTAAGAATGGTGAAGATCATATGACAAGGGAGCATACAACCAAAAATTTTATTGCATAATGGCACAGGGTTTCATAAACACTGTACCAGGAAAAATAAATCTTATCAGTTAAGATAAGATGAAGCAACATAAGCAAAGCTACATTTGTGTTGCTAGATACAGAGCACAGCTAGAAAAATTCTACTGACTCCTGTCTTAAATGTCTTCTCATTTGTCCCTCTTTTACACCTGCAGAAGATATACACCTTCCACCCTATATAAATAGTATTAGACTAATTATTCACAGGTTTAGTTTTCCTTCTATTTTCAGGCTATTCACTTAACTTTAAGATTTCTTGACAATTACAGAAAAGAATGCTTTTTTCTCTTTTAAATCTCCTTTTCTTTACTTAATTTTCAAGGGAAAAGCAGGGAAGGGAGAAATCAGTGAAGGACAAAACCACGTTTTTCTTCATAGTGTATGTTCTACACAACTGTTTTGAGAAAGCCAGTGGGTATCATTAGCTGACTGCCTACCCACTAGGTATCTTCCGCTCTTCACTCGCTTCCTTAAAAAAAAGTGGGGGCAGCATGTCTTGTACGCGTTGTCAACTGTTGCTAGACAAAGATAGATATCCTTTAGTTCTGCTTGAACGATTGAACTGGGGCAGGAAAAGAATGGAGGGTAGGGTGAGGGGAGGGAAGGAAAAGTCTTGGAGCATACATGTTTTAATAGCTTTTAGTATTGCTTGCTCTGAGAGTAGACCTTGACCGTACACAGTCACACAGAAAAAGGCAGCATTTGGAACAGAAAGACTAAACCGCTCTCTTTCAGTAGCTGTACTGCAGTGGACATGAGTAATAAAACATACATCGGGCTAGCCTGCTTCTAGCCGTACTCTATTGTGGACTGTTCCAGTCGAATTAGTATATTCCATATAACTAATAAGCATTATATGTTTTGCTGTCAGTAGAATGTAACGAGGCACATTTATTCTTTACAGGAGCAGCAAACGTTTTGCCAGAGTGGAAGAATATGTATCTACAGGTTATAGTGTTAGTTAATATTGGGCGATTAAATATTTAGTATTTCAATACAGTTTACTTGCATTGCGAGAATAGCTGGGAAACAGAGTTCCTTTTGCCTGTAAAGCAAAAGTAATATATGAAGAGTTAAATAATTGCTCCTCAAAATGCATTCCCACTTAAACGTTCCAAAACTTAACACTGAACAGAACACTAGGCCCAAAAGAATTTAGGAAAATAAATGCTTTCTCTTCATTAACTTTTTTCAAAGTTATGTCATGCTAGTGAACACGTGTTGACAGCACAGGAATAAAAAAGTATAACTGACAGATATAGAGAAGCAAACTATATCCTTTAAATAGAGAAGTGGGTTGTCCTGCAAGAAAAAGTGCTATAAATATAATGTACTTTGAAGGCTGTTATAGTTCAACAGATAAAAACACAGGGCAGCTTGGGATACTAACATAATTAAGGTTCACAAGTAAGAGTTAAAGAATTTCTTTCCATAAAGAATTCTTCATCATTTTGTAAAGGTACATTTGTCAGCCTAGATTCACTAAAGAAAAAAGATGGGTAGTGCCAGAGAAATGGCAATTAGCTTTTTTTTTAGATAAATTCCTAATTCTATTATGACAACTCTCCATATAGGAAGCCATTAAGCTAAATGAAGCAGCAAATATCTCTCTGTACTGGTACTGCAGGTAAGAAAGACCGTATTGTAGTACCTCTTAGTAATTCAGTGCTGTATAACACAGGTACGTGAAATAGAAGAATATTCTTGTATGCCACTATTAATTGGTACTAAACCAGAAATCAAAACAGTACCATAACCTGACCAGATATGCACTACTTGTTCCACAGACGATAACAAAACTGACAACCAAATCAAAGAACAGTAGTGTTTCCATCAGAAACTCTACATAATACAGAAGGTTTGCTAAAACAAACTGTAAAGTGAGGTTTAAAAGTTTTGCCTAATTCAAAAGTTAGCTCTCACTTAAGTGTTGGAGGACAACAGTTAGCTGCTAGGTAGATATTCCTTACGTATCACTTAAGATTGAAATATTTGAGATTTTCAACTAACTTATGATATGATATAAAATAAATTAAAAGCATTCAATTAAAAACCACAGAACAAAAACCCCTTTAAGAATCCTTTCACTCTTTTTAGCCTTCAGAAATGGTGAGATCTGGTGAGATCTCCTGGCAGCTAAAGGGTTTATCTCATAAAGCATGAGCACAAGAATGGCAAATATACATTTCCTTTTCTTATTTGGCTGTAAAGTTTGCACAGGCGAATCTCCACGCTACACGGGACTTCAGAGAGCAGCACTGATACCTTCTTAAAACAAAGAAGCTGTTCATGTAATAAAGACTTCCTGAAGTATCTCCATATATTCAAAGGCCTATTTTCCAATTCTCAGGCTTTCTACAATTTCAAAAAATAGAATCTGAGCAGCAAAAACTGGAAGAATAACTTTGTGGAAAAGCATAGTTTAAGAACTAACAAAGAAAAAAATGCACCACCACATACCACAGCCACCTTCCAGCTGTTCCAATCATTTTTTCCCCATCAATTCAATACTCCTCTCCCAGGAAACAAACTTTCTATACATTATGCATGTAGTTATTTAAATGTTATTCTGAATATTAAGACTTTTATATCAATATTTGGATATTAAAGCACCAAGCTGAATCTTCATGGGACAATTTCCCCTTTTGAGAAGGGAGAGGTATGATGAACAGTGATTACATTGTTTCATGATTTTAACAGAATGGCAAGATTTGTTCAAATACCAGTAAACGTCTGAAAAACAACCAACAGACATGTGAAAACACTATTTTATTCCCTGAAACACTCTGGAATGGACTTGAGCAGGCCAGCTAGGGCTTTGAAGTGGTTCAATACGTATCATGCATTGGCTTTGCTTCCTTCAGTATACTGACTTGAGTATAAAGACTGAAAGATACAAAGTAATGAAAACATAAAAAGAAAACAAGAACCACTTAGTCAGGACTGTGTTAAACTTAATGCACACAAACTTCTGTTGAAAAAGACCTTCTTAAAAGAAGTAGCTTTCCTATACTGAGTAGCAAGAGCTTCTAGTCATCAACTGTCTTATGTAGAGATAAGACACATAAGGCCTTACTACCTAGTTATTTCTACCTTATGTAGTCACTTACATATGTATATAGATAAGTCTGAAATTCTAAGTTAGCTAAAATCAGTTTTTACAGATATGACTCGTACAGAAAGAGCCACACCTTCTGTTTTCCTTTTCCAATAATCCCAAATCAAACGCTCTCTTCAAATCATTGTGTCCCCATTTGAACAGAGGTACATCCCACCACCCCTTTTTCCACTTACGGAGCACTACTTATATACCCATGTTTGCCAGGTGTGCTTGTGTGCACCAGTAGACAAATAGCTTCAGAGTCACCACTGACTGTGGCTCAAACTGCTTTCATTTCTGTCAGTTTAGCAGCTGGCAAAATTATTTAAAAACCTTATTTATAATCAAATTCTCTATTGATATTTTAATGAACTTTACTATCATTGCATCTCAACAATTGGAGTTCACTCATTCTTCCATTAAAAATTATACACTGAAAACATATGAATCAGAGTCCACAAAGAATTATTTATTTTTTAAAAGTATTTCAAGACTAGCTGTCCAAGAACCAGAAAACAACAAAACAATGATTTAAAAGTATTAAAAGGAACTAACAAAATTGAAGAGATGGGAAGACTAGAAGGAGGGGTGAGGACAAAGGGGAGAAGAGGACACAACAACAACTTTGGTGCTGTACCCAAGCCTTTAGAAATAACAGATTATGACTATATTAACTAATTGTTAATAGGTCTAATTTCTATAATATGCATCATCTGGAAAACAGAACTTGTAAGTGTCATAAAAGCCACTCCAAAAATAATTTTAAAATTAGGCAAAAGATACAACAGATAAGTAATATGCCATCATTATGATCCACATTTTCTAAATTCCCCAAAAATAGCAAAAAGACTGACAGTGGCATGCTGAAAGAAAAGTGACAGTCAGACAAGAACACAACCCCTGGCTTTGAAATAGGAGCACAACAAAAAAGCAAAAACTCCTAAGCATGTAGTGGTCTAAGTCTGTAAAGGCTTACAATGGCAATAAAACTAGCTGCACCAGAGGGGAGAACCTTTAGCACTCTCTATCCAAGCTACCCTAGGACTGAAAGTGAAGTCCACAGTTAGTCTAGAAAGATATTAGCAGATACTCACCATTAATCTGCTCTCAAAATCAATTCATTCAACAAATCATTACAACAGAGAAATTCCAAGTATTCATGTGGGTTCAAATTCTAGTGAACTTTCACCTGTTTGATGGTCACCACAAAAAAAACTTGCCACCCACGCCCTTTGAGCTAAGAAAGGATCAAAAATTCCTCCTTCCTTCCTTAAGAAGCTGACTTCAGAAGCCTCTGTAGTTTTGCTCTTAGTATACTTATCTAACTGGTTTCTAACTAAAACAAAAAAGAGTCAAGACCCAATTTCCAGATGTTGGACTTACGACTAAATAACTGGGAAAAGATCACATGCAGGAAGACCGGCAGTTCAACACTGAGGAGTCTGGCTTAAAACTCAGTCTTAAGACTCTGGTCTACTATAGGCTTGTGTGACCTTCATTAATTGATATCAGGCTATTCTTATGATCTGGGCAACATATTCTGTATGTTATGGTGCTTATCTGCTATTTCAGGAGAAGAGTGCAGCCTTTGATCCCCGGAGAGTTAAAGGGGTGCTTTTCCTGTACAGACTATTGCACTTGAGAAAAAAAAAACAAACAAAAACCAAAAACACACCTATCTGTAAATAGCCACAATTATTTCATTTTTCTCCTCAAAAGGAAGAGGGGTTAGAAGGCTTTTGTTGAAGTCATACAACTGTGACCATGCTAGTATCATTGGTGATCAGTGGCCAACACTGTCTGCTTATGCTCCTTTATTAATCTGTAGTTGGCTCTTCTAACACCTGTAGGCAGACACTAGTTGTGTTTGTACAACATATAACACAAAATACTTCTAATGCAACAGTAATATAATGCCGTGAAATAAGCAACATAAAAATGCTATTTTCACAACATAAAAAGGACTAAAAGTTCAAGATAGTAACAATAATTCACCTAAACTATCAGCTCTGTTAGTCCTTAGAGCCTGTTCACATGCATCAGCTGTGTGCAGAAGGGGAAAACAACTGGCTTGGAGCACCAACTGTGAATTCTGAAATAACAGATAATACCAATTTGCATCTAATCTGTTGACTGACATTCAGAAGAAGAGAAACCATATTAACTTAAAAAAAATAACCTGTTCACTGTCTAAGTAATAACAGTGAAACTAAACCAGAGTTTTCCGTATCCTCTAGAGCCTGTCAGTGAAAATTAACTTAGTGTAATTCTTTTAAACCTACTAACCTGGGTAAGCTTAGGACTTGTTTCCTTCACTTAATACCACATCTGTTGATGTCTTCTCACTGGTACAACATACAGAACAGTAGTTCCAGGTTTCTATGCTTTAGGAATTTTAGATTAAAATCTTTAACATTAACTGCATTCTGGCTTTATCTTTAAAGAGAAAACATACTTTATTGTATATTTGTCCCCAAAGTAATGATTTTCTTTTTTAAAAAATTCTGGTGGGAAGTGTATTTCACCTCAAAAACCCATAGTTTGCATCAGTGAGATTCTATCTCACTCAACTTCAGGAATACAAATAAGCCCTTCCATCCTAAAACCATGTAGCCACTGGAAAAGCTAACACATTAAATTATTATGAAAAAAAAAAATAATGCAAAAAAAATCCACTAACTTTTCAACAATACTGGGCAGGGGGGAGGAGTCTGGTTTCTGCCTTCGTCCTTCTACTACTTCTCAAAGCAGCAACACATGCAGACATGTAAATACATGTGTGTATGTTGTTGCTTTGAGAGGTAGTAGGATGAAGGCAAAAACCAGACATAAGTTTCTCTCTCCACATGGTGTAAAGTCATAAATAATAACAGTAGCAAATTATCACAATAGTTACTAGACCTCTCTTACACATATAGTGAACATAACCTTGGTTCCTAAAGGTTAGGATCTGTGTATGGTATTAAGACATATGTGCAGGACACATAACCAAAAGCTCTGAAAACTTGATGTTACTTAAGTACTTAATGAGTGAGAAGTACAGCAAGACCAGACAGCATACTGCACTGTGAAGCTGAAATGCACCACGTTGCATACACACAACAGGCTCCTTTAGAATCTGGGCTAAGTTTAAAGACAAAAAGTCTTTGATTCTTGTGAATCGTCCTTTTGACTCACAAGGAAATGATACATACTTCAGTATGTACTTAAGAAAGTTATTTTTGCAAATAAAACCCCACCTACTGGAACACAAAAACCTGCAGAAGTACATGACAACTTGACACAAACATACTAATTTTAAAAAGGAAAGCTTGGTGCTTTAGCTTTGCCTGGAATCTTACATACCAAGGTAAATGCATGCACGTAGCGGCAAGAGACAAGTAAAGGGATTTACTGACTGAAGAGGGACCCCAGTTTTACAGAGTTACACCTGAGCATTTTTTCCAATTATTTCAGACAAATGGGGTTAATGGAATAAAAAGAACAGTCACATTTACTTTATCATTCTTCAGCTGCTAGAACTTAAGCAGAAGAAATTCCTTTTCTGAATTTCAACTTCAAGGAAGTTTTTAGTATAGGCTAGGATGATATTCAAATTCCCAATATAAGCAACACTAATGAAGTGCTTCTTGCTCCAATACACACATCCGCTGTCTCTCTCCAAATGACTATCACAGCCTTCTCAGTAGTTAAGCCATACCACAGCTTAGCTTAATGTAACATTAAGAGTTACGTCTCCCCCATATCTCTTATTCTTGGAATAAGAGAGCAGCAAGAGGTCAAGCAAAGACTTTTTATAAAGAAGTTGTAATTTTTATTTTATCATGTCCAGCTTCAAAAGCATTCAAAGATAACTGTGACAGAGTTTCCTTATTTTAATGTCAACCCTATAAGCATTATTTATAGGCTTAATTATATTTCCAGTATACAACACAAGACAGATACTTCTCACTTCAGTTTCCCTTAGTAACCACAAATGTGAAAAGCTGACTGCAGCACAGTTTGAGGGTCATTTCAAGAACAGAACAGGCAGAGAAAGGCTCCATTTTCAGATACTGCTGCAGAAACAGATCTGTACAGTAAAAGATATAGACCTATGAAAATTATTAAGAGAATGCCAGAAGGTCAGTATCAAGATATAGCTTCCCCCCCGCCCCGCAACTTCATTCTGTTATTTCTCCCGATGTCAACAGTTTATTAATAATGCTGAAAGCAGGGAATTTGCACGTGATTTTATAATTAATGTTATTTACCATTTCTAGCTAGTTACCTAAAAGTGAACTAGTCAACAGATTGATTAGCTTGGTTTTTGTTGAAGAAAATGTAACTTAAAGAAAAAACCAAATAAAAAAAAAGCATTACTCAAGTACTACTAGCTAATTCCAGATTTAATTCCTGTCAAAACAAGCTATCAGATACACCAAATTCTAAGATTAAAGGTAATGCACATGACTGTTGTGCTTATATTTTGTAATGAAACTTTAAGTCTGCACTTGCTAAGCAATGACATTCTAACAATAAAGCAGTAACTTACAGAATATTCAATAGTCCCTTTAGGCTTTTGAAAAGACATTCGTCGCCCATCTTTCTTGTCTGGGGTCTTCTTCTGGCCAGTGTCTGAAAAAAATTGAGGCAACGTGCGTGTTAAATTCATTTTCCTCTCTCAGTACTGTCACAGGCTGCTGACTACAGCCCCGTGGGCAGACATCTAATTCACCAGTTACACAGCTTGCTCCCGGTGACTCTGTCTAACAGACAACCAGCTGCTAGAATAGGGACTTCATTCCTCTGCAATGCTTTTCGAATTTGACCAATATAAACCACTGATAACTGGGAATCAATTAACTGCATAAGTACTTGCTGCTGTCCAGGAAGCTATTAATGAAGGAAGACTAAATAGGAGATTGATCCCATGAGGCAAGCAACATTTAGAATCATAGAATTGTTAAGGTTGGAAGAGACCCTTAAGATCATCGAGTCCAACCGTTAACCTAGCACTGCCAAGTCCACCACTAAACCATGTCCTCAAGCACCACGTCTACCTGTCTTTTGAATACCTCCAGGGATGGAGATTCAACCACTTCCATGGACAGCCTGTTCCAGTGCCTAACAACTCTCTCCGTAAAGAAATTTTTCCTAATATCCAATCTAAACCTCCCATGGCACAACTTGAGGCTATTTCCTCCCATCCTATCACTTGTTACTAGGGAGAAGAGACCGACCCCCACCTCGCTACAACCTCCTTTCAGGTAGTTGTAGAGAGCAATAAGGGCTCCCCTCAGCCTCCTCGTCTCCAGACTAAACAACCCCAGCTCCCTCAGCCACTCCTTATAAGACTTGTGCTCTAGACCTTTCACCAGCTTTGTTGCCCTCCTTTGGACACGCTCCAGCACCTCCATGTCCTTCTTGTAGTGAGGGGCCCAAAACTGAACACAGTACTTGAGGCGCGGCCTCACCAGTGCCGAGTACAGGGGGAGTACATTTCTGGAACTACTGTGTTTAATTGGTTTTATATCATACCCAGTCTGCTTTTGTCTAGAGGGGCGATGATCTAGAGTTCCTATATGTTCGATCTAATCAGTTGGAATTTTTTGTCTAAATGCTGTTTGGTAAGTACAGAGTACTTAAAGCTTTTTTATAAAACAAAGAGCATTAGTGTTTAACTTCACAGTTATCCCATCTGTAGCAAACACATACAGCCTATGCATAAATAATAAAGATTCTAAATAATAACACAAGCTAAGAACTGTGCTTTTTATTGGAGCATTGTATTTTGATGACCTCCATTTCATAAGCAAAATCAACAATTTGTACCTGAAGTATACCCTACTTTTTGATACTAATTGGATTGATACTTATAATAAACACAATGCAACAGTGTACTTACATGAGTCAACAGAAACCATTTAATGCTACATCTCCAGAAAAGTGATTTTTTTAACATATCCATTTATATAATGATTAATCTCTTAAGTTATGTCTCTCTCACAAGGCCTCCACCTTCAACACTGAAATATCTGCTATTGAGGAGCCCAAAATACTTACATGAATGAGATGTTAGGTTTTCATGCTACAATGGGATTAGTTATACTCCCATTTTGACACATTCAAATTTCTGTTACCATAACTGATTATATTTAGTCAAATGTTTCAAACCAAATTAAATAGAAGAACCAAACCTTACAAAATACATTATTTCAAAATATTTTAGTATGGCTAGATTAAGAATAGAAAACATGCTGTACGTCTATTTAAGCCTCACCTGAGGTACTAAGGAAACTTGTTATAAATTGACAGCAACTTCTGTGCATTACTATTTTTAATTAGCATCCTGACTGCAACACTGGAAAAGAGACTAGACAAATACTTGCATGAATTTCATATCCCACCCCCCTGCCCCCCCATTTCTACATGCATAATTGAAACTATCAAGATATGAGAGGGGGGAAAAAAAAAAAAAAAAAAAACACAACACAAAATACACAGAAAGTTCTGCAGTGTCAAAAAATAAGAAACAAAACACACACACACAAAAATAAAACCCCAGCAAATACCTTATATTTGCTATATTGGGCAAGCTGCAGAGGGCAACAATAAAAGTGATTTCTAGCAGATTCAATACTTCACTCTCCTGAAGTATTCTTTATATAATAAGGAAATAAACATTGGACTAATTCTATTTTTCTTAGTATATTGAAAAATGTCTGAGGGAGGATGCTTCCATACTTACAAGATAAAAATTGATCTCTGTATGGTATTAATTATGGTAAGTTTTTATAGCTATGAATGACAGTCATGACTTGAAGCCTACTTTTAAAAACTTTCTAGAAATTCTGAAAATCTAAACATTGTAATTCTGCATCACACTATCTTCATTCAATACATTAAAAGGTATTTCTTCCCTTATTTACTAATTGCAGCTTTTAAGAAGTTACCTAAAAGAAACCCTTACTTCTGATTACATTAATAGTTTTTAAAGATGCTACAAGTGTCTCTAGCAGAAGTTAAGCCAAGTCGGTAATGAATAATCATAGAATCATTAAGGTTGGAAAAGACCTTTAAGATCTTCAAGTCCAACCATTAACCCAACTGCCAGGTCCACCTCTAAACCACGTCCCTAAGCACCACATCCACACATTTTTTGAATACTTCCAGGGACTGAGATTGCACCACTTCACTGGGCAGTCTGTTCCAGTGCCTAACAACTCTCTCCATGAAGAAATTTTTCCTAATATCCAATCTAAACCTCCCATGGCACAACTTGAGGCCATTTCCTCTACTCCTATCGCTTGTTACTAGGGAGAAGAGACCGACCCCCACCTTGCTACAACCTTCTTTCAGGTAGCTGTAGAGAGCAATAAGGTCTCCCCTCAGCCTCCTCTTCTCCAAACTAAACAATCCCAGCTCCCTCAGCCGCTCCTCAGAAGACTTGTGCTCCAGACCCTTCACCAGCTTTGTTGCCCTTCTTTGGACACGCTCCAACACCTCAATGCCTTTCTTGTAGTGAGGGGCCCAAAACTGAACACAGTTGGTGAGGTGCGGCCTCACCAGTGCCGAGTACAGAGGCACTGTCACCTCCCTGGTCCTGCTGGCCATACTATTCCTGATGCAAGCCAGGATGCCATTAGCCCTCTTGGCCACCTGAGCACACTGCTGGCTCATGCTCAGCTGGCTGTCAACCAACACCCCCAGGTCCTTTGCCGCCAGGCAGCCCTCCAGCCACTCCTCCCCAAGCCTGTAGCGTTGCATGGGGTTGTTGTGACCCAAGTGCAGGACCCGGCACTTAGCCTCGTTGAACCTCATACAATTGGCCTCGGCCCATCAATCCAGCCTGTCCAGGTCGCTCTGTAGAGCCTTCCTACCTTCAGGCAGATCAACACTCCTGCCCCACTTGGCGTCATCTGCAAACTTACTGAGGGTGCACTCAATCCCCTCATCCAGATCATCAATAAAGATATTGAACAGAACTGGTCCCAGTACTGAGCCCTGGGGAACACCACTCATGACCAGCCACCAACTGGATTTGACTCCATTCACCACCACTCTCTGGGCTCGGACATTCAGCTAGTTTTTAACCCAGCACAGAGTGCACTTATCCAAGCCGTGAGCAGCCAGTTTCTCCAGGAGAATGCTGTGGGAGACAGTGTCAAAGGCTTTACTAAACTCCAGGTAGACAACATCCACAGCCTTCCCCTTATCCACCAAGCGGGTCATCTTGTCATAGAAGGAGATCAGGTTGGTCAAGCAGGACCTCCCTTTCATAAACCCATGCTGACTGGGCATGATCCCCTGGTTATCCCATATATGCTGCTTGATGGCACTCAGGATGATCTGCTCCATGACCTTCCTCAGCACTGAGGTCAGGCTGACAGGCCTGTAGTTCCCCAGATCCTCCTTCTGGCCCTTCTTGTAGATAGGTGTCACATCAGCTAGCTTCCAGTCAGCTGGGACCTCCCTGGAATAAAATACACTAGAAGTTTGTGTGTAGACTAACGGTAGCCAACATTCTCCTCTTCCAGGTCAAATATTTTGTTACCAAAGTCTCTACCTGACCTTGCAACACAACAGATGCCTCCTCAGCAAGCTACTGAAAAACTGCAACAGCTGCTTGAGTGTAGCTGTTCCAAGTTTTTCAGCCCATATCAAAGCTTTGCCAGCAGCCTAATCTTTTTCTTTCAACACCAGTCTGGTTCAAATACTCTTAAGCAAAAGTCAAAGGATGTAGCTGAAGACAGACTGATCTCATCCAGGATCCCATACATGCCTTAATAATCTATACATGGAGCACTCCTATTGTAGAACAAGCACCTTCTTCCCCTGCCCCACCCCTGTTATTAGATGGGAATAAAGAAACCCCATACTACAAATATATATATGCACTTCATTTGTATACAGCCCAATGTTGTTTGTGGTTTATTTTTCCTAACCCAAATTTAAGTTTCCTTTTTCTGCTTACTAGTTTGTGTATAAGTGTCTAAAGAGTTTGCAGACAGGTGCCACTCAAAGAGGTCGTTAAGTTATCTTCTCCCTTTCTACTAACTGAACAGTAGAATAAAGTCTTGCACAAATAACCACTTCTGTTTCTTATGCCAGAAATAAAAAAGGAAAGTTATTTGTTCTTCAGGGCAGAAAGACCTACTGTGATTTAGACTTCAGAGCACTCTGGTAACTTCAGGAAAGTAAGAGCAACCAGGGGGTAGGGGTGGGGAAGGAAGGTCCCTGTTGGAGGCACCTTGGAGGAAAGCAGATGCCAGGAGAACTCCTACCACAAATTCCTCAGGAGCTTATAATCTGCAGCTTTTCATGTTTTGTTTTTTTTTTTTTTTTTTTTTTAGCGTCCCCCCCCCCCAT